GTAAGTCACCACTTCAGCACAGCCACCCACCAACTATTACCCCCAGTTCACATATATGCAGCCATGCTGGTCACATTTTGTGCGGGCACGAGAGCCCATTAATTTGAATAGACACCCGTGCCCTGTGACATTCAGGGAAGAAGTCCCTGCACTTCTTCTGAAAACGCAGCCCATACGGGAACCTCGGTTCCCAGTACAGTCGCATTTTCCAGTGTGCGCTGTGTGAAATTAGAACTAATGGCACCCGCCCGTGGGTCCACATTCCTCTGTGTGGGTGGTGCGGCTGCACGGATGTTCAAGCGGATTAGTAGCGGCACCACCCGCACAGATGTGAACCAATCCTTACTCCTTTACTGATAATTCTCTAATACTCCTCTCATAACCTGATAACCTGTTGGGTAGATTTGGTCAATGACATCATGAGAGCTTTCAGCTGAGAGTTCAGATAAATGGAAATCATTCAAAACCAAGCAGAGTGAATGGACACATTTTTCTTAATCTCCTACAGGCCTCGTGTTTGTTCTCTCTCATATACATTTATAAGTATACCTTAAGCATGTTGGGTAAGTGCAGTGTGGTGCGGTGGGCAGACAACACACAGATTCCTGATTTGCCAGAAAAAAACGTATTACAGAAATAGTAAAATCAGTACAACTTGCCGCTAATACTGTTCCTGACAGATGGGAGACCTGTCCCTAAACTAGCCACTCGCGTCAAGCGTGCCAAAACACAGGGTCAGAGTCTTAAATAGACTCTACCTGACTCAAGATGGCCACCGTGGTCATATGGCATTGGAACATCCAACTGGAGCAATGTGACCAAGGAAGTCATAGACAAACCCAGATTCTCTCAACTTCCTCTCTCCATTGCCATGTCGCTGTGGTGCAGTGCCACCTATAGTGGAGAAAACAGACTGCACCTTCCTACAAACAGTTTTAAACTGCTATGACCAAAGACCCTGAACTGTAGAAATCCAACCCCAACTTTTCATTTTTTTACACTTTTTGTTATCGTCTACCCCTTCTCCTTCTTTTACCTTCAATAGCTTCTTCAAAGTACCTGACAATGAGTACATGGGAATATCCATATTGTGTCTTTCTCCATCCAATTTATACACAGTATCCATGGTATCCAGTCTGCATGAGCTAACAATATGACTGTACTTAAAGGCGACTTCCAAGTATAGATATTTTTACATTAGTCCAGTTTGGATCAAGGTAAGTATGTATGTTACATACCTGGTTACTCCCTGTGGAAACTGAAATTCGCTTTAGAAGTCACCGCTACTATAGTTGAAGACTAACTGGTGCTGCGCTATCTCTAAGTGATAAATAAACTCCTGTGATGTTAATACCCCACACAGTGTACAAACGTATAAATAAATATACACAAAACCAAAAAATAATTGAATAGAATGCACATGAAAACATCCAAATTGTGGATAATAGTGAATACCATTCAAACGTAAAAAGGTGTAACCTAGGTACACCACTAGAAATAAAATAGGTGACTATGGGTGAACAAAACACATAATTACAAAGTTAATATATATATATGAATATATATTACTTCTTTTCGAATTGTGCCCAAAAAAAACGTATATGATCCTATTGAGGATCCCAAATCTCAGTGATACAAATACAATACAAATTATATCCTGCAACTGATTAGTTGCTATAGGAAATGCTCCCAAAATGTAAGTGTTCACAGTGAACATAATAAAGGATAGGTGGAAGTGAAATAATTAAATCTAAATAAATAAATAAATGAATAAACAGTAGAAACTGGTGTGGAAAAAATAAAATAAAACTGCAAAGTAATTTCCGCAACACACATCTATTGCTGAAATCCGCTGAAACTTATGGATTCAAGTGAAATTTGTGAAAAAATAAAATGAACGTGAAATCACAAAACAGTGACCCCTAAATCAGGGGTATGTGAAATAGACGGTGTATAAGTGATATAAATAATATGAACACAATGGGTCATGAATATCATACAAAGGACCCAATGGCAACAAGTCCAATGAACTACATATACTCCAGCCAAAAACGTGAAGTCCAAAAACGTGAAATAGACCTAAAGATGGTGAAGGTGTCTTGTAGTTCTTAGATAGTGCTGGTATTGTGAAGGTGAATACACAATGCAATAAGATCCAACACTAGGCGAAATGCCCCCTCACCTCCATGAAGTGACTCTGCAGGGCCAAAAAGCCTTTCTCATATACTATCGCATCAACCAGGAACCAGGATCCACTTCCACAGATATCAGGTCAGCAGATGGATCAATCCCTCTCACTGATGGATATCAGCACAGCAGGAACACTCTCCAGAGTAGTAAGTATAGGAACAGCCAATAGTTTATTTATCACTTAGAGATAGCACAGCACCAATTAGTCTTCAATTGTCATTTTCCATCGGGTATATGGTACGGTGCTAGCAGCTTTTTAGTATAAACTAATAGGGGACCTAGAGCGCAGGAGGACCATACAGATATAACCGCTACTACAGTGATTGCCACTAGCCTCCAGTCCTGTGCCGAGAGGCTACACTGTGAACACAGGAGGTCTTTTGCTTGGTATGGGTGCCATTCGGAGAACTCTTTGCATTTTCTGAATGAATGCAAGGTGCTTTCTGATTGGACAAGATGAGGATTGTGAACGCCGTACCAGGGGCGGACTGACAACTCATGGGGCCCCTGTGCAATAGGGGATCATGGAGCCCGTGTCCTTGCCCAAACTCAAAAAAGCCTATGAAAAAGGTACCAGGGGCATCTCATGGGGCCCCCTACTGACCCCGGGCCCCAAATGGTCAGTCCGCCCCTTCACCTAACCTATCCACTCCATTCAAGCATTCAAAGATACGATGCAATAGCACCTAAGCTGAGTGAGTGTCCTCCTGTATTCACTAAGCTGCAGGGCTGCCACTTGGCACAGGACACAGAAGCTAGCAGCAATCACTGTAGTAGCAGTGCCTACTACAGTGATTCCCTGCTTCCATGGGGATCGGCCAGGTATGGCACAGTTACAATGGTCCAGACTGAGCCAATGTAAATTTGCAAAATATCCATACCTAACTTCAGCTTTGAAGTATATCTTTTGGATAAAGTAGGAAATTTGTTAAAACTGCTGTTCTTTTTTTTTTTTTTTTTTATTTCGAATACTGATTACCATTTTGATGTATTCTGGATGTGCTTTTGAAGGTCAATTGACCCTTTCTATTTATGCTGCATATTGTAGTTCACATACTTCTACCAAAAACAAAGCTTGCCATCAATTCAAGAACCTTACCACTCATTGAAGACATAATGACAATGCTGCCTTGAGATTTTTGCAGTGCTTTTAATGCTGTGGATGTCAGCTGGATGTAACTGAGATAGTTGACAGTGATGGAACTCAGCACGGCCTCCATATCACCTTGAAAATATCCAAATGACCCAGAACCTCCCACATGATTTAAAACTAGATAATCCATGCCACCTACATAAAAAAGCAGAAGAAGATCACTGCAGCACTGCACTGACAATGTTAAAGAGAAAATATTATGTATTTTCAAATAGTTTACATTTAGAGGTATTATTTTACCATTGATCTGAAAATGATTTCTTGCAGTGACATTCCTATTGTTATGAATTTGGAGTTTCGTATTTTAAAAATTAAGTTCCTTACAAATTTGTGCAATTGCTCTCTCTAGTGGTAATCTGTGTGCCTGGGGCCTTGCTGTCAAAGTGTAAGATACAATGAAACATAAAGCTATATCAAAGATCTTGATAAGAATAAATATAAAAAAATAAAAAGAAGTAGGACAGAAATAAATGTTTGTTATAAACTGATTATAAACTATTGCTGGAAGACTGGATTCTTTCTTGGATACACAAAATGTAACTGGATAATAACATTTATAGGTAAAGTTGATCCACGGAATATCTGATTGCCTCTCGGGGGATCAGGAAGGAATTTTTTCCCCTGCAGGAGCAAATTGGATCATGCTTTGCTGGGTTTTTTTGCCTTCCTCTGGATCAACTGTGGATGTAGGATTATAACTTTTTTTTTTTTCTTTATGGTTGAACTGGATGGACTTTTGTCTTTTTTTCAGCCAGACTAACTATGTAACTACTTTCAGTGCAGGCCGCATATTTGAAGGATGTGGTGCTTGGTTACAAAATTTCTGCTAAAGGGAGGATCAGCCACTTTGAATTTAAATTTTTTCTTAAAATCACGACTGGCTCAGGGGTGGTACCTGGTACCTTACAAACTTGTTCATATGTTTCCTACACTTTCAGGCCTTTGTTTCAGAGGATGCCAGACTACAGGCCATATCCTCCATAATAGGTGGACCTGCCTGATGCTGGGGCCCTTTTAGTCCAATGTGTTCTCTCTTTTACACACATTATTCAGAAATCGCTTCCCCAGAAACCCCTGCCTGGCACTTTTACATTTTAAACCCCCAGGCATTACCAAAAAACAATTTAACCTCCCTAGCGGTCTGATTATGTCCATATTTCTGTGCTCAAAGCGGTACATTTTTTTGCATGGAAATATGTATTTTTTTTATTGTAGGCCTGTAATTTTTAGGAATAACTCACTGAAATCTGTCCGAACAAGAGTCTAGTAAACATCCCGGATAGAATAAATTTGAAACACGAAATCATAAATTATAATATAATAAATAATCATAAAAAATAATAATATAATAATAATAAATTTAATTCAATAATATAATCAAACCAAAAACACTGAAATTTGAAATATAGCGCCAAGTTCGCACATCCCTGAGCAAAGTCGCAAAATCATTTTCAGTGTCTGATGCCGAATTTCCCCACGAATCATTATCACTCAAATCTGCAAGTAGTTCTAATTAACTATCGCTGTTCTCTAGCTGGTCTAAAACCGCTTTTGACCTAAAGGGACGCTTTTTGGACGCCATGGACGTTTCTCAGTTTCCAGGCATAAAGAACAGTAAAAATGCAGGCAGGGCACAGGACAAAGCACTAGGGACAAAATGTATGTGAAATGCCTTGATACAGTAATGTTTTACTATGTGATTTTAGTGTATTTAGTGAATGTCACTTTTTGTCATTTTCAAATTTCCCGGCGTTCCGTCCCCCGTACATCCCGACGCTCGCAGGGGACGGAAACCCAGATGACAGATGCCGGCATCTGCCGGATTACATTGCCGGGGACACTGCAGGAGGGACATCGTGGGAGCGCAGGACAAGGTAAGTGAAGAACAGATGCCGGAGTAGCGCCGCATGGTAAGCCCGAGTGTAGCTCGGGGTTACCGCTTGTGGTACTGAAACTTTACCCCGAGCTACACTCGGGAATACTGCCAGGGGGGTTAAGCAAAACCACTTTGTCCTACTAGATTCCAAATAAACGAAAGCCAGGGCATGAAAAAAACAATGCACTCATTTCTCTGAGACTGAATCCTGAATTGATGGAATTTTTGTAACTGAACAGTTAACCAGCATTCTTACTAATAACAATAATAAATTCCACAAAATCTGGAACCCATAGATATCGCCATTTAAGTATCACCATCTGTCTAAAGGGGGCTCACACTGCAACAAGCATAGATGGTGCCTCCTTTCCCATGCTCTCTCTTCCCCCCACCTACCTCTTCTTCCTTTTCTTCTACTCCGTTTTCTGTGATTATATTGTTACTTACATCAATTGCAATTTATATATTCCTTTAATCCCTAAATAGTTCTTGATTTTGAGAACATTAAAGTTAGCCTTCCGTGTTCCTTTTCTTCAAGCAATTTTGAATAAAGCCATAACACTGTAGTGGATTTTGTTCCGTTTATTGAATTCTCATTCTCATTCCATATGCTGACTTATCAATACACTTGTACCATTTATTATTTTTGTGTTGTAAAACCAATAAATATATTGATATGATAAATTAGTTTTATGTTAACTTTTGGTTAAAACTAAGAAAAGCTTGACTATTTATTTATGTTAGGTACTTATATAGCGTTGTCAATTTAAGCAGCGCTTTACATATATATATATATTGTGCATTCACATCAGTCCCTAACCCTCAAGGGGTGTACAATATAAGGTCCCTAACTTACATTCATACATACACATACTAGGGCCATTTTAAACAGGATCCAATTAACCTACCAGCATGTCTTTGGAATTAGCCTGTAATATCCCAGTAAGTACGTTTAAACAAACATTTCAATGTGAAATAAAGGGAGGAGCCTGTCGTACTGACGTCACGCCGCCACGTCCTCAACGGAGATCCGGCGGCCATCTTTGTGAGTGTTTTTGCCATTTGTTACCCATGTGGATGTTTTTTATCAATCTAATAATTATACTGCACCATAAGCATTCCCTTTCTTCTGTGCAAGCTATTTTCTTCAAGGTGGGCTGAGTTTTTGCTGGTTTTGCATATGATGGATGTGTCTGCTAGAGTCATTCCTTAATGCAGTGTGAGGGAAGTGGTGTTTCTTCTCCAAACCTTGAGTAGTTTCTGTGGACGTTTTCTTACCTGCGGAGGAGCTGTGTTGTATCATAATGCACATTTAATATGCGCTTCTGGTGAGTGCATTTAGGAGCAGCATCTTCATCACGGAGTCACTTTTTTACCTGCTATCACGGATATATTTTGGACTTTTTGAGATATTTCGCCTGGATGATTTTATTTAATACTTATGTTGGACTTTTCACTACTGTCACCATCATCAGTGTTCTGTGATCACTTCTTCACTGTCATTCAGTGTGATACAAATTGATTATTATTCACTATAGCGCCATTTTATAGCGCCTCACATATATTGTTGTTGTGTATAGTCACCATTGTCACTCATTTACTAGCATTGTCTGTTATCAATAGCACATAGCGCTGCATCATACGTTTTTATAAATATTTCAATGACTTATTGTATCTCTCCCAGTGTTTTCCTAAGCTTAGCATACAAGCCCCTTCTCTATTTATTGAAAAAATTCCTATGCTTATACATTTTTTTTAGATGGAGGAACCTTCAAGGATATGGTTTCCACACAACATACTACATAATAAACCCTACATTATTAAAGAAGTCCTGGCAGTAACTGAAACTGTCAGTGAGCAGGCCAGTGAGCTACTAATATCCATCAAACACTGCAACTATGTCCAGAGAGGACCTCGCAGGGTCATGGGGTGTGTATGTGCTGTGTAGAGAGGAATGGTGAGCCTTTTAAATATATATGAATTGGCCAGTGTACATACATACCTCCCAACAGTCCCAGATTTGGTGGGACTTTCCTGCATTTTCACATTCGTCCCGTGGTCCCGGTGTACAGGGGCTTCGTCCTGCATTACTTTATATGCTAACTTCCAGCTGAGCAGGACCTGCAGAAGTGTGAACAGTGTGAACATCTAGCACAGCAGGGATTGGCAGGCAAGACAGTGGGTCTTGCAGCCACAATGAGAGAGAGAGTGCAGCTGTCAAGTCCAACCTGTGATGTTGGGGATGGGCTAGTCTGATATGTGTTTCGGGGGCTCCGCCCCCTTCGTCAAGCAAGCACTGCATAGACAAACAGCCGGCATTTATACATTACTGGCCAGGAAAGACGGTGACAAGGGACAACACCATTGGAACTACTGTATGTGTATCTGCAGTGATGTATAATAAACCTGAATTATACACTGCTGTGGGTGCACATGCAGTAGTTCCAAGTGGTCCTGCCCCTTGTCACCTTTCTCCCAAGTGGCACTGTATAATTACTGGCTGTTTCCCTATGAATGGGTTGTTTTTAAAAGGGGGCAGAGCCCCTGAAAAGCATATTGGCCCGCCCATCCTTGACATCACAGCTTGAACTTGACAGCTGCACTCTCTCTCATTGCAGACGTACCCCCGCCTGCTTGTTCACCAATCCCTGGCTGTGCTAGATGTTCACTCTGCTGCACATCGTGCTCCGCTGCACTCATTTGTTATCCATCTGATGCCTGCATACTTGCTTCGGCTCCTGTATGCTGTTAATCAAGATTTTAGAACATAAGTGTATGTTTAATTGGTGTCTTTGCAGTTTAACTAACTTCTGTACTCTGTACGTAACGCATTCCTGAATCCTGCACTCTGTATGAAACGTACTCCTGAACCTTGCACTCTGTACACAATGCACTCCTGAATCCTGTACTCTGTAAGTAACACATTCCTGAACCTTGCACTCTATACACAACACACTCCTGAATCCTGCACTCTGTACACAACGCACTCCTGAACCTTGCACTCTGTACGTAACGCACTCCTGGATCCTGCACTCTGTACACAACGCACTCCTGAATCTTGCACTTTGTACACAACGCACTCCTGAATCTTGCACTCTGTACACAACGCACTCCTAAACCTTGCACTCTGTACGTAACGCACTCCTGAATCCTGCACTCTGTACGTACGTAACGCATCCCTGAATCCTGCACTCTGTATGAAACGCACTCCTGAATCTTGCACTCTGTACGTAACACACTCCTGGATCCAGTACTCTGTACCTAACGCACTCCTGAATCCTGCACTCTGTACGTAATGCACTCCTGAATCCTGCACTCTGTATGAAATGCACTCCTGAACCTAGCACTCTGTACGTAACGCATCCTGAATCCTGAATCCTACACTCTGTATGAAACGCACTCATGAATCTTGCACTCTGTACGTAACGCACTCCTGAATCCAGCACTCTGTATGAAACGCACTCCTGAATCCTGCACTCAGGTACGTAACGCACTCCTGAATCCAGTACTCTGTACCTAATGCACTCCTGAATCCTGCACTCTGTACGTAACGCACTCCTGAATCCTGCACTCTGTACGTAACGCACTCTGAATCTTGCACTCTGTACGTAACGCACTCCTGAATCCGTATGCACTCTGTACGCAACGCACTCCTGAATCCAGCACTTTGTACTCTGTACATAATGCACTCCTGAATCCTGCACTCTGTATGAAATGCACTCCTGAATCCAGCACTTTGTATGTAACGCACTCCTGAATCTTGCACTCTGTACGTAACGCACTCCTGAATCCAGCACTCTGTACGTAACGCACTCCTGAATCTTGCACTCTGTACGTAACGCACTCCTGGATCCTGCACTCTGTACGTAATGCACTCCTGAATCCTGCACTCTGTATGCAAACCTGCACTCTGTACGTAACGCATCCCTGAATGAAACGCACTCATGAATCTTGCACTCTTACGTAACGCACTCCCTGAATCCTGCACTCTGTATGAAATGCACTCATGAATCTGCACTCTGTACGTAACGCACTCCTGAATCCAGCACTCTGTACTAATGCACTCCTGAATCTGCACTCTGTATGTAACGCACTCCTGAATCCTGCACTCTGTACGTAATGCATTCCTGAATCCTTGCACTCTGTACGTAACGCACATTCCTGAATCTGCACTCTGTACGTAACGCACTCCTGAATCCAGCACTTTGTACGTAACGCACACTCCTGAATCTTGCACTCTGTACGTAACGCACTCCTGAATCCTGCACTCTGTACGTAACGCACTCCTGAATCCAGCACTCTGTATGTAACGCACTCCTGAATCCAGCACTCTGTACGTAACGCACTCCTGAATCCTGCACTCTGTACGTAACGCACTCCTGAATCCAGCACTCTGTACGTAATGCACTCCTGAATCCTGCACTCTGTATGAAATGCACTCCTGAATCCTTCCATACTTTGTGTAAAGCACTCTTTCACAGTTTGTACAAATCCAGTAATGGAAGCTTTTTATTCTTTTTTTAAATGATTGTGCTGGGGTTTGTGTCCATGAGACTCTTGCTTGTGGCACAGCAATCAAAGGATATTTTATAGGTAGAAGGAAGTCGGGGTTTAGTTTAACCACACCCCTTAGGCCCCTCCCACTGTTAAGCTTTTGGCTACACCCATTTTTGCCACAGCACGCTATGCATGCTGCAGGTTGGTTCCTCCCTCAAGTGTCCCTCATTCTGAAGTTCAAAAGTTGGGAGGTATGTACAGAGGCAAGGGAACAACTGAAAAAGGTGGAAAGTTAAATAAGAATTGTATTTGTATATGTAGTACATATTTACCTAATTGGTCAATAGCTTCTTGGACCACATCCTGAGCTGAAGTCAAGTTCCCCATATCAGACACAACGTAATGTGCTGAACCTGCCCCTAGCTGGAGACACTTCTTTGCAACCTATGAAACAAAAATACTCTTTAATATTTGCAAGTTGTGATTGAAGATGGCCACACAGGCCAACTGGATTCAGATAATCTATAGAATAACGCTTGAAGCCCTTTAGTATGTAACTTCCTACCATTGAACCTGAGAGAGCCCTGATAAAGGGGTGTTGGAGTTGATTTACTAAGGTGGTAGAGCAT